AATCTCGAATCTCAACTTTGAATCTCAATTTTGATATTTTGGATCTCAATTAAGCAAGAAGATTGGATGAAGAGATTGGGCTGCCCTCGGAATCACATAAAATAAAGAAGGATCGCATAACAATCCCAATATTCCACCGATCCATAGCTGATTGTTTTGTTCAGTAGCTAATTTTTTTCTTCCTAAGAGCTTTTGAGATTTTGGAGTGTTTCCATCTATGATAAAGATGCTCAATTAATGAGATCTTAATTTTCCTTCGGTGAAGTATTTCCTTTTAGGTGAAGATTTGATTTTTTTTTAAATTTCGTCATGTGAAGAAGAGACACATGGCAATCCCTAAGCAGTGCCAAATGGCAACTTCTCAAAGCATGAACTCTCAAATATTATATTAAATGATTTTCTTTGTCATTTGGCACTTTAGTAGTTGGGTCAAAATAGTAATGGACTAATTGGATTTTTGGGCTCCACATATCCATCTTCATCATCTTCCTTATCTTTGAATTCCAAAATATATATCTAAAAAGGTTGTGTCAAGGAAAATAATGCTCCGAAAACAATAAAATATAAATATACTTAAAATCATGCATTTTATAAATAAAATATACTCCGTAAACAATAGCCTAAAATGCTAAATTTAACAAAATATGTTTATTTAAGTATAAAATGCATATAAAACATCTTAAAAGTACTAAGAAATGAGAGAATAAAATATGACATTTTGTGACTCAACACTGCCCCTTCCTTTGAATGATGTCCTCTAGCACCTGGTGACTTGTCATCCCCTTCTGTATGTTGAATTTAGACATGCATGAGTTAAGAATATTTTGACCCACATCACACTCCCAAAAAAAAATGTCTATCTGTTTCCTTTGCTTGTCCACATAGAACACAGTTCTGGTCTATCTCCATATATTTGCTCAGCCTCTCTTTGGTCTGCAGTCTACCCTTCATAAGCAGCCAAGCATTTTAGGTGGGGTAATAAGATTCCACTCTGCATCTTTCCATCCTGGAATTTCTCTTGTACCTTGTAGCCAGTCATACCCATCCTTAATTTTGTACTCCTGGATCTTTGGCATATATTTAAACTTTTCTCTCACTTTGATCATTTCTATCCAATAGTGACAAACATCCCTCTTTGGTTTGTATTCCCAGTAGTCAGACCCCTTTAAGTATTTGCTATGTATCCACTTCACCCATAATACATCCTTCTTTCCAGCCACATCCCAATTCAGCTTCATAATGGCTGCATGATTCCAGTTTAAAGCATTCATAATCCCCGGCCCTCTAAACTTCTTCTTATGGCACACCTCTTCCCAGTTAACCAAAGGAACTTTAGTATAATTAGAAGAACTCCCCCATAAAAAGTTCCTACTAATTGCCATTATCTCTTTTATAACCCTCCTAGGTAGAATAAATATCCTAGACTAGAAAGCAGTAATCCCCATCAGAACAGAATTTATGATCCTCACCCTTGCACTATATGAGAAATGCCTATTACTCCAAGCTGTAATCACTACAAGAAACTTGACATTTTGTGGCACCAAATTTTGCCACAAAAAATAAAAAATTAGCCACAATACCTATTTGTAGCAATTTTGGAATTTGCCACAAGCTTGCCACAGATACCCCGTTACAAAAGGTATTTGTGGCAAATTTAAATTTGCCACAAAAGACATAATTTTTGTGGCAAATTATGGTTTGCCACTAATAAAATTTTGCCACAAAAGCTCGTATTTAGTGGCAAATTTTAGTTGCCACAAATTATATTTTGCCACAAAACCTAATGTTTAGTAGCAAATTTAAGTTGCCACAAGTTATACTTTGTGGCAATAGCTCATGTTTAGTGGCAAATTTTAATTGCTACAATCATTAATTAATTATGGCAAAACATAATACTAGTGATACTTTATAATTGTCACAAACTAAATTTGCTACAATTCTTCATCATATTACATTCTTTAAATAACAATTTTATCATAGTAAGAACAAAAAATACAAGGACATGTTGTGTAATGCCCAAAGCTCAAGTAAAATAAAAAGCTATGAAATGACAAATTGTCTAAAGTATCAAATACTACATTACAAGGTCCAAAAACGTTTAAAACCACTTATGCTTTCCATGGAGTTCACCATTTTATCTTCATTATTGCAACTTCTTCCTCAAGTGCCCTCTTCTAATTCTCAATATCTTGCTCTAGAGTAGATCCCTGGATTATAAAGTAACCAACCTGTATTCAAAATAAAGTTGCTTGATTAATTCAATAGTGGGACATTAACATCATCTTTGGAATTTTAAGCATAAGAAAGAGAAGAGTCACCAAGTAATCTTTCATTTTGAGAACTAGAACAGCTAAGGTCATCTGACATTCCATGAATCATATGTCCCACAATGAAAAAGGCTAGATGACGGTTCAAATTTGGAAAACATAAAGCAGTACAAAAGAAGATTGTTTTGTATTAAAACATTACATATACTTAGTGTTTCATTCATTACATAATATACATAAAGAATATCCAAAATAAATGTAATGAGTTCTAGTCTATCTTTTATCTCCCCCACATTTTCTTTCCTTCAATTTTTTTTTTAATTTCTTTCTTTCCTTTCCCTATTTCAGAATTCCAAATGCCACCTTAAGAATCTCAGTTTCTAGGATTTTATATTAAAAAAAACATTTAGGGGTTGGAACTTGGAAGAATCATAAGGGATTGGGTGGAGACAATTACCTTATAGTATCACGGGCTTCAAAGAAGATAGATAGTATAATCCCGTGGTTGAAATTAAGAATAGTATAAAAATGAAGGTG